TGAAATGTGGCAAAAGGTTGAAAAGTTCAAGGAGGCTGAATACTTTCACAAGACACTGTGTATACTATAAACTGACCCCACTTTCACTTAAGGAAACTATGCTTACTCGTCCAAAAATGTTCAGTCAGGTCATCTGGTTGGTTTTATTTTTTTGTGCTGAGATGTTTCACCCTCCATCCGGAAGGCTTCATCAGTTTGAGGAAATGCCAAACAAAACTGCTTCTCCCCAACAACCTACTCTAAAGTTGAAGAAAAAAACTTTTATGTTGGTGCTAAGCCCTCTTCTCCGGTGTCTTATGCCTTATGCCTTATGCTTACTAGGTTTTTTTTGCTTAAAAGTATACGATAGGTAATTCCTACCTTAAAGGAACCAAACAGACACAAACGTTAGTTTTCAGCCAAGCTTTTGCAAAAGAGGAGCTATAGTCACAACTGTGTTAAGGCTGTGAGCTGAGAACTCCGAAGACTTTCAGCATCTGCTCGTTTTTTTATTGTCACACAGAAAGGAGTGAAAACTGGACATCTTGATTATGCAGGCAGTTTAGATTACGCAACGAGGGCAAGGCAGTCTAGAACATTTTGATTTAACGCTTACATGGGTGTGAGTAATGAGTTCCTGATACCATTGTATCAGTTAAATTCTGCTTCGTACGCATTAAGAAAAATAATAACAGTGTGAGATTGTTAATGTGAGATTGATAAAATATGAGTTGATATGTATAAAACCCTGACATCTGTGGTTTTACAAAAGAAAAAACAGTTCTCAGAAACTGCTACGTGGGTGAACTTTTATCTGTTCTTGTCAGTTGATTTAACTTTGCAAGTTCATATCTTTACGGTCAAACAGGCACTGTAAAACAAAGTTTGATAAAGTTTTAAGATACAAAAACCCTATCAGTATAGTTTCCTTAAATGATTAGAATGGCTCTTAAGGTGGCCACAGATTATTCTTTGGGGGCCAAGGCCACCAGTGGCACCTCTCTGGCTTCTCCACTACACCTGATAGCAGATAAAGTTCCTCCCTCCACTCACCAGGAGCCATCACTCTGTGCTGCTTTAGACAAAAAGCACCTCCCTCTTTTCTTCTCCACAGTGCAACTCCTCCCCACTTGATTATCTTGCATCAAAAACATTGTTACATTCTCTGTTCAATTCCAGTCCAGAAAAACTCTCATCTTCAAAACTCCAAACATTCACTGTTCAAGTCCCTCAGAGACAGGGAACATTAGCATACTGCTTGTAATAAGATGGAGGTAGGTTGTTGAGAGCTTTGTAAGATTTTAAATTTTGTTCTGATTTTGACTGAGAGCCAATGGAGAGAAGCTAAAACTGGAGAAATATGATCAGAACTCTAGCAGCAGAACTTTGGATAAACTGAATACTTTAAGGGTTGTTTAGACACTCAGATAAAAATAGTCCTTAAATGACATCCTGGTCAAAATTAACACTGAGATTTTGTACATTAGAACTGGAGGCCACTTTAATGCCATCCAGAGAAAGAGGAAGACTGAAGAGTTTGTTCCTTAAAGGCTCTTTGTTGTGGTCTGTTTCTGTAGGTCCCTTCTGGATCTGTATGACCCTGGTGTTCTCCGTAGCAATCAGTGGGAACCTGTCCACCTTCCTGCGTAAGATGGGGAGCCCCAACTACCACTACAGACCACAGTTCCACAGAGGTCTGTACTGGTCCACCTGCATGGCCTAGCTGTTGCTGCAGCTCCTGACTCTGTTGTGTCTCTGCAGTCACCATAGCTGCAGTGGTGATCTTTCTGTACGCCTGGCTGGTACCAGTGGGTCTGTGGGCTTTTCTCACCTGGAGACAAGGGACTGAAAGGCAGATGGGAGGCTACTCCTTCCTAGAGACTGTGTGTGTCTATGGCTACTCCCTCTTCATCTTCATCCCCACATCAGTGAGTACATCCTTTCTTTAAAGCTTCTATTCCACGACTGACAACCCCCACAGAATAAATACCGTTATTTCCGGACTATTGAGCGCAAAGCCGTGCACATTAAATTTAAACGACATTTTTCGTTTGTACATAAATAAGCTGCACTTGTATATAAGTCCCAGTTGTTCTGTAAGAGTACCACTGACTGCAGCTCCTCGTCCAAGATGGCCGCTAATTAACAACAGCTGTCGGCCATCAACCTGATGAGGACCTCCTGTAGTGGACTAAGCCTGATGTCAAAACTGACCAGATGGACAGAAACTGTCATTTCATTGATTTGAATCCAGAAATACAGTTTGACCCATCCTGAGACTTTCTGTCTTGAATTAATCAAGTGGAAAAGACAATTCTCTATGATCATTACTATTTTACAAATGTTTTGATAATCAAATTGTGTTAGTTCAAACAATGTTTACATGTTGAAGTGAACTACTCATTTTTATTTACTTAAACAGTAGTAATGATTTTTATTCCTCAATTCAAAGTGAAATCAAGTTGGAGTACATTACAGAGTAATGATTCAATTTCTTGATCGTCTGCTTTGAAAGTGAGCAAATTTGTAAGTGTGTTAAAGTTCAAGCTTCGGTCAACTAGAAAGTTTACTGAAAAGAAATGTCATGTTTAACTTTTACAGCAAGATACAGGAGAGGTGGCACCACGAAGACTGGTTTTCTCCAACAATCTTTCTGTCTGTTCTTAAACAATTTAATCTCTGTCCTTGACTTTCCATAACACCTTACATCACAAACCACACCTCTGTTCTGGTCCATCCACCAATCAGAGGCTCTCAAACGAACCGGAAGTGGAGCCCATTTAAATATCGGCACTTCCTAGTTCAAAGTAGAGTTCAGGAGTTTTGGGATCCAGAATGCAGAGAGTTTGGGAGTTCATGAATGCAAAACGCAGGCATTCATGGAGGCTGCTAAACCAAATAAGCTGAACCAGAGACGATTTTGGGAATTATAACTTCTGTTTGGATAACCTCGCACGGCTCTCTAGGTATTTGGCTGTTCTCACTGAGACGCTGAACAGTGGTTGGAAGTGAGACTCCACGCCGGAACTGATCTATCTTCAGAAAAGGTAAAAGTCGACCTTCACCAAGAGTGTACTGTTTGGGACAAGCTGATTTCGAAGGAGCGTGCACGTTCTGGTTAAAACAGATAAATTCCCTCACACATCTCTCTGTAAGATAAATCTCAATTTTCCATCTTTAAACTCTCCTTTCTGCTAGAAAATTAATCCAGATGTTTTCATTAATGTCTGTGGTGAAGCAACGGAAAACCATGGCCGTATGGTTTCCTGGTTGTAAAAGCTGATTAATTATGTTGTTGTTTTCATATTCTGCCAAATTAATGTAAATGTTTGATGTTAAACTTTGATTCTGTAAAATAAATGACCGCATTCATTTTGATGGGTCAAAGAAAAATGACGTCTCACGTTACATTTCATTAAATTCAATGCACGTTTTATCCAGTCCAGAAAGATGAGTGAACCCGTTTAATTGATGAATATATCAGCATCTGTTCATCTACACTCCTACATAAGGCTGCAATCCAGTGTTGCTTTTCGATGGAGCATTAGCCATCAATGGTATTTGTGCCTCCGGCCTGTACCTTTACTGTTGGTAAATTTACTTACCAGCTCTTTCTTGTCTTCAGTAATCCAGTCTCCTCGGTCCTGGTTCCCTCGGTCCTGTCCTGGTTCTCCTCTTGCCTCGCCTTGGTTCTCTTCGTGCCTTGCTTTCCACCAGTTGTCAGCCTCCTCTGTCCTGCCTGACAACTTGGTCTTCTCACCCTCTGGAGCTATCCTCTGGCATTGCAGTTGGACCCATATACCTCCTTAAACCTGTAAGAGAGAAACTTCATCAGAATCAAATCTTACCTGTTCCATCCTGCCGACTTCCTCTGACCATCTCCTTCTTCCCCAGGAGCTTCAGAGTAACGACTGTTACCTTTTCCACTGTAAATAATAAACACTGTCACTTTTGCATTTACCTGAGTCTGTCTCATTCTGGGTCTCATACAACTCTGGTTTCCTGGAGTCAGAACAGAAATGCTGCAACCAAATCAGCCCCATTATGAGACCAGGAGCAAGCAGGCCCTCGCTACCTCTCAGGTGGAACGAATTAACAATTTGGAAGAGATGCTGCAGCAGATTCTGACCCAACAATGCTCTGTGCAGTCCAACCTGCAGGAACTCGGAGGTATGATCTTTTCCATTAAACAACAAATTCTACCTCCCTCTCCTCCAGCGTCTGTCATCCAGTCGACCCCCAGTACCACCACAGAACTCCCTGGCCCGGTTCCTTCTGCTCAGCAATTACTTGTGAAGCCTTCGGAGCTCTTCGCAGGAGATCCTGATCAATGTGGAGGATTTCTACTCCAGTGCAGGCTCACATTCGAATGGGCTCCATCTTTTTACGCCTTTGATGCAGCTAAAATCACCTATTTCATCAGCCAGCTAAAAGGTAATGCCCTCCGTTGGGCCAATTCCTTTTTACAGTTCCACGATAGTTCCTCTGTTCCTTACAAACAAATTTTAAAGGAGTTTCGTAGGATTTTTGATTGCCCTCTGCAGGCGCCGAATGCCGTAAAGTGACTGCTAAGCCTACGTCAGGGCCGACACGCAGTTTCTGATTACGCCTTGGAGTTCTGGATCCTCGCCGCTCAGACCGGCTGGAACGAGCTAACACGACAAGGTACCTTCCTAAACTTTTTGTCTGATCACCTCAAGGACCAAACTACAGCTTGAGATGAACCTGAGGGGTTTTATAAACTAATCGACCTGGATATCACCATCGACGACAGCTTCTGGGAGAGAAGAAGAGAGCGGGATTACAATTCCCATAGACCTTCCACTTCCGGGTTCGTGACCCCTCCAAGTGAGCTACACTCCTACAAGCAGATTAAAGAGAACTTCAAATCCCAGTCGTCCCCGGGTCCTAGTTTTGCTGTGTCACCGTTGGTCCCAACAACACGCCCCCCTTGCCTTACCTGAGCTCGAACCAATGCAGGTCGGGCGTACATGATTGTCACCTGAGGAGAGACAACGTCGCAGTTGCACTAATGTCTGCATTTATTGTGGTAATCCCGGGCATTATCTACCTCACTGCCCATTTCGGGGAAACAAGAACGCCCACCAGTAAAGAGGGAGATACTGATGTGTACCTCAGCGCTTTCCTCCCCATTTAAACTCTTGCTGCCAACTGTTATACAAATAAATCAACAACTCCTGTCCTTGTCTGCTCTAATTGACTCTGGGGCCGGGCAAAATCTTATAAATATGGATCTGGTTAAAAAATACTCTCTTCCCACTCTGGAGATCTCTCCTGTTTCTGTTTCTGGCATCACCGGAGAAACGTTAGCTCAGGTCCACCATAAAACGACCGAACTACACTTAATCATCTCCGGAAATCACCACAAAATTAACAGTTACTTTGTGTTTGATTCTCCGACATCCCAACTGATCTTGGGTTTCCCCTGGCTTAAGAGCCACAACCCTGACATAAATTGGGAACTCTGGCGGGTAGAGAAGTGGAGCGACAAATGCCTAAAGAACTGTTTACGTTTCGCGATTGCCAGTCACCCACAGATAACGCCTCCAGAGGAGGAGGTGGATTTTACTGCTATTCCTCCTGACTACCATGACCTGGCAGCAGCTTTCAGTAAACAAGGAGCCCCGTCTCTCCCCCCGCATCGCCCATACGACTGCTCCATTGATTTGTTCCTGGACGCCCCCTTGCCGACAAGCCGACCCTACAACCTCTCTGGACCCAAGAGGGAGTTGATGAAGAAATATATTAATGAATCCCTGGACTTGGGCATTATTCACCTTACCACTAGGGGCAGGTATTTTCTTTGTCGCCACAAAGGATAAGACTCTTCGCTCTTGTATAGACTATAGAGGATTGAATAACATTACCGTAAAGAACAAATATCCACTCCCTTTGATCGATTAATTCCACGAACATTTACAAATGGCCACCATCTTCACCAAGCTCGACTTTAGAAATGCCTACGACCTGGTACGCATTAAAGAGGGTGACGAGTGGAAGACGGCTTTTAGAACTCCCCTTGGCCATTTTGAATATTTAGTAATGCCTTTTGGCTTAACCAACTGGCTGTTTTCCAGGCCCTAGTGAATGATGTTTTGAGAGATTTCATTGGTGTCTTTGTATTTGTTTATCTCAACGATATTTTTATTTACTCCCACGACCCAGTCGAACACACACAATTATTTGATATAGGAGAAAAATGTGAGTTTAATGTCTGCACAGTTTCTTTTTTGGGATTCATTTTTGAAGGCGGGCACTGCAGGACCGATTCCAAGAAGACGAGGGCTGTAGTTGAATGGCCAACCTCGGAATCTAGAAAACAACTGCAACGTTTTTTGGGGGTTTGCCAACTTCTGTAGACGCTTCATAAAAGACTACAGCCACGTGGCAGCCCCTCTGTCTCAACTCACTTCCAACTCCAGGACTTTCAGCTGGACCCCAGAGGCCAACACTGCATTTAGTAAGTTAAATAAACTTTTTTCATCTACACCCATTCTTTGTCATCCTGATCCCAAACGCCAGTTTATACTTGTGGTTGACGCCTCAGACACGGGGATAGGGGCCGTGCTTTCTCAGAGGTCACCCAGCGACAATAAGGTCGACCCCTGCGGGGTTTTTTTCCAAACGTCTGTCCCAGGCAGAAAGAAATTAATGAGGGCAACCGCGCGGTCAAACTGGCCCTTGAAGAATGGCGGCACCGATTGGAAGGCACTGAGACCCCCTTCTTAATTTGGACCGACCATAAAAATCGGACATACCTCAGAGACGCTAAACGCTTAACCCCAAGACAGGCTCGCTGGTCTCTGTTCTTCAATTGTTTCTATTATATTTTGACTTTCAGACCCGGCTCAAAGAACATCAAACCAGATGCACTGTCCCGTCAGTTTTTACCACCAGACATACCTGA